CTCAACCGCGTAAGACAGACACTCACAGAGCAGCCATCTATAGACCTACCCCCAGGAATGCATTCCTTCCCCAGGGTTGTTCCTTGCTGGGAAAAGAATTCAGCAATATATCTCCTACTCACACATCCATCTACAGGCTTTCTATGAGAAGAAAAATATGGCTCTATTCCGCCCAACCCCGCAGGCAGTCATACCTTATGGTCATCTTCCCTTGCTCCCTGAAAATCGCTGTTATTCTGTTCTTTTTCAAGTTGCACTAATTTCATATTGTTCAAACACACGTTGTTACAATCAATTTGTACAATAGTGGTCCTGAGGTGATGTACATTCTCAGCTTACAAAGATAACAGGACAAAGAGATTAAAGTAAAGACAGGCATAAGAAATTACAAGAGAATTATTAGGGAAGTGATAAATGTCCATGAAATCTTCACAATTTATGTTCAGAGACTGCAGTAAAGACAGGTGTAAGAAATTATAAAAGTATTAATTTTGGGAACTGATAAATGTCCATGAAATCTTCACAACTTACGTTCTTCTGCCTTGGCTCCAGCTGGTCCCTCTGTTTGGGGTCCCTGACTTCCCACAACATTAACCAAAGAAAATTTCCTCATTTTACTCTTATAATTTCTTCCATAACAAAATACCTTGGAACCCACATGCAAATTTGTATTTCTCCAGCCATCTTTAGTTTGTCAAATATCAATATATACATTATAATAAATGTTATATAATATAACCAATAATTTGCTACCCATTACATGATTAAAGTCATATTAATAAAAGTCATACTGAGAAGTTTGGAACCTGGGTTTTTAAACAGGAAGGCTTAATTCTTATAAGTGTAAGAAATTAGAAATTTTTATGCCAGGTACATCCAGGTGTCATCCTGGCTTTACATCTGCTTTTGAGAAATAGGGAAATGGTAAACAGTCATATTTCTTTGAGAAACAAAAACAGAACAAAAAAGGTGCTGAAACTGCACAACTGATGACTTTTAACAATTTAGATGTAGAACACAATTAAGCTGGGTGATATTTATCAAAGTGTACTATGTGTGCATCTCAGAATCCCCTATATTTATTCCAAAGTAAATCTTTCCAAAGATTAAAAACTCTTCTGTCCATTCAACCATAATTTTTGTCACAATATCCAATTTTACTAGTTCTTTATGGTTTCACTACTATTTCCTATATGGTATTTTATTTTATTCCTATAACCCATTGAATTTAATATTATTATGTCTTATACATAATAAAAAACAAAGTTTAGAAGTATCAGTTGATTTTCCCAAGGTCATGTAGCCAGTAAGTGAAGAGGTCAAACTTCTGACACCAAAGCCACAACTCAAAAACATAGTGTCTATCTTGTTTACAGAGTCATACTTATACTTGGGTATATAAAAGTGAAGTGTGAATCACAGTCTTTGAAATGTAAGAAGGTATAATATTTTACGAATAGAAGAAAATATGAACAGATAGAGTCTTTAAATATTATTTAAACTTTATGAAGTAGTATATAATACTAAATTGTATATGCAAGAAAGAGATGCTTTATGCATTTAGAGAAAAAGATTATGTATGTTGAAATGTTCAGGCAAATATTCACGATGAAAGTAGGACCTGTATTCGAACTTGAAAGCTGGTAAAGATTTTGAGAGATGTGAGAAACAGGAGTCAAGGCAACATTTTAATTGTGTCTCACCTAATTCTTAGAGAATAAAGACACTAGTCCATGTTAGTATCCCAGATATCTCAGGGACTTATACCAAGTAAGATCTGAAACTACATAAAAAGTAATTTGAACCTTTATGGCAATTTTAAGCTGACACTAAGTTTATGTAAGGTGCTAGTTGATAAATAACTATATTGTCTACAACTGAAATAATGATCTGATATTGACATATATTTTAAGTAATGTATAAAATAGTAAATTAAAAGTCCATAATGCTCTAGACCCTCTTTTAGGTTATTTTGGATTTTGTTGTTATTTTATTTTTTATTATTAACAGAAGCTGTTTTCCATGGCCATCTCTGACTTTAATTTCTTCTTTTGCCTAACTTAGACTCTAAGTATTCATACTTTCCCTGATCACATCCCATTCCTCCTCCACTTACAAAACAAGAGAGACCCAGAGCTTCGCGAATAAATTACTCATGAAAAGTGGCACTTCGAAGGCAGAAAGGGATGAGTCTTTCACAAAGCACAGGTCAAAATGTTGAACATGGAAGGAAGTCAGTACAAAAAGCCTATGGACATACTGGCAGCACTGAGAATGCCTTTCTTCCCCATTCTTTCATTATAAATTTTAGGTTTCCACATTATAATACCTTTAAATAGTTTAAGTTCTGAACCCTCTGGCCTACACAAATTTGCATAACTAAATTAATCTCATAGAGCTTAAGTACTTAACTTAAATTTAATCTAGCATTAGACTGAAATAATTATATCAAAATACCTATTTTGCAAATGTAAGCAATTTAAAATAATATATGTTTGCATTTTTATATGAAGGATTTAATTTTAGTTGAAATGATTGGCTAATATCAATATTACAAATGACATAACCAAACTGTCAAATTGACTCACAGTTTAAAAAGTAAGTATGGAAGGCTCCTTACTTAAACTAATAAGCAAGGAGCACCACTTGTAGTACAATGTATTTTTATTTTAGGACATCTGAATAATAGAGCAACATTAAGTGGGACAATAAAGCATCCTGAAGTGTGGTAAAATGAATTCATCAAAAATGTATGAATGTACTAAAAAAGTTTAAACTATACATAAACACATAGAGCTGGGACAATTCAGAGAAAAGTAATAATTCAGATAACATTATTGCATTAGCGAAAAGCCTGGACTTTGTGTGATATAAGCAAGATTTTGAACTCGAGCTAAAAAGCACATCTAACTGAAAAAGAGGATGTTAATCATCAAAGCAAGGCAGCCTAGGGCAGAGATAAAATGGAAAATAATGTTTATTTAAACATTACTAATGTATCAGGAACTCTGTTACTCTGTTATATTACTCTTTTAACTAAATGTTAAATAACTCTGTTATTGAATTCAACAAATTGACCTAAGTTATAGAGGAACCCCAAGATTTGTCTTGTCAGTGGTATTACAACATATTAAAAAACCATAGTGTGTTCAGATTTCTGACATTCACAAAGTAAATCCTTTGCTGTGCTCTAGTCATAACATACATGTCATTTACTAACTGGGACAGAAACATTAGTAAAATGCATCTATTTAAAGATTAATATTTTATTTACTATAGCATCATAGACAATAATGCTCAGAAATATGAGTTTACTTTGTTGTAACTTCTTACAAAACTAAATGCAGGTACTGTTGTCTTAATCCAGCCCAGCCATATATATAGAAATCTGTTAAAAGCATATGAGAAATGTGGAAAAAAAAAATTAAAATGCTCCAGATTTTATTCTCAGTTATGTTACTCTGAAGTTTTAGGAGCCAACAGAAAATACTACATTACTATTTTAAATTGTATTAATATTTGATAAATGTAATAACCAAAAGCAAAATGGTAAGGCAAGATCATTATTGATTATATTATCACGTTAAGGACATGATAAGCAAGTAGTGGTCAGAATAATCAACATTCATGAAATTCTTCTACATTTTATTTTAGGAGTAATTTGCAAATAACAAAATAAGCTAAGATCAGGAATTTATTTTACAAATCCTGAAAATAACCTGGGCTTAGTATAAATTTAATCAATACAATTCACTTAAATATTTAATTAATCTCTAATGCATCTCATGTAAATAGTGGCTATTGAGACTGATAAACCTGCCATACTGCAAGTATTGAATAACTCACAAAAGAGAAAAAATACTTAGATTTATCATACTCTAGTTTGAATATACCATTTATTAAGTTTTGTTTGTTCTCCTTAGGTCTAGCATTAAGATATTCAATCTAATAAACTTAAAAGTTTTTCACAATGAAAGAGGGAGGATATTCTATCAACTAAAATCAGAATGCTCACATTGCGGGGGCAGAGCACAACAAATTATAGGTAACTGCCATAAATATTCCCTTTTAAGATATAATTTGACATCTGTAGTAATAATAGTAATAAGAAACTCAACTGCCATTACTTGGTATCAACTTTATACTTGTAATATACTAAATGTCTCACCTATTTTCACATTTTCTTCCCAGGACAAGTGAGTTTGAGAAACTTGGCTGAAATCACATACTTTTCAAATAATAAAACTTTGGTTTGTCTGTCCCATCAAGTATCTAGTCACTGCATTCTACTTACAACACACTAGGAAACACACTATATTACTGGAAGATTAAACTAATTCTTTATTCTGACATTAACTCCTTATTAGTAAGAAATTCACTACATTTTGAAATTGTTTTTCATCTTCCCTACCTCTGCACCTACAAGCTGGCTCCTTTGTTGAAGCTATGGGAAGATAAGGATAAAGGCATATTTGCAAGTTTTTGGCAGCATCAATTGCAGTGTCTGAAGTAAATTCACATTTTGCAGCTCTGAAAAATGAAAGGTGCAGTGAGGGGGTGAAGATGGCGGACAACTGAGAATTTCTTTCCCCTTTATACCACTTGGTATATGTTGATTTCTAGTAATTAACCTTGAGTAAAATCTAACATTTCAAACTTTTAATTTTTAGACTAAAATTTGATACAGGTTTAATATATTTTTGTGTAATTTCTGTAGCCTTTTTCCCATCATTTCTCAGAATTACTTATAATTGCCCTATTTTATTTTTATATGTACAAAAAGGCATGGTTATCAAGGGTAAGTATTATATTAATAAAAAAGTAATAGATCATTTTATTTGCAAACTGTTTATAACATTAAAACATTTTTACTGAAATTATTATGCTGTTCCATTTTCAGGATAATTCTTTGAGATAGACATAAATTATTATTTCCATTATTTCATGGGGAAAATTGGGACAAGCTACACTACATCAGCCAAAGGGAGGAAGAATAATCATTTTCTTTCTCTTTTTTTCTGTCTCTATTGATTTGTTAACCATTGGTGAAACATCAACAGACTTTACAAATAATACATGAGCATAAAGCAAATGAAACTGTATTGAAGATTGATGCATAAATGACCCACACAAAAAAACAATAAAATCAAAGATAAATGAATCACAATTCTTGTAAAGTTTATTTTTTAGAATGCTTTAACTGTATATCAATTACTCTAATATCATGATTTCAATAAATAATGTGACATTCTTAGGAAAAAGGAACACATTACAAATCAATGCAAAACAATGGTTTAGCCACAAGGGTTTAACAGCAACAGCAAGCTTTGTTTTTCTCCCCCCTGGGAGACATTTCTGAAACAGATTTTTTTCAGAAGCTCTGAAAACAAAGCTTTGCATGTATCATCACATTGTCATTTCTCTCCTTCTGGCTATCTTTAATCATAAACCTCAAATATTATTGAATTTGTTTATTTGCTATGTGGTTGAATTACTTTTAACTAGAAACTGGGGATTTCTAATCCTCTTAAGCCAAATTATTTTCCTTCTCAACTATGCACTAATGCTCTCATGATTTCTTGTTGATAATATAACATGTTCTCTAATCGGCACTTTCACTAATACAGTAGGACTTATATGGTTTCAGACTTCTCCTGCCTTGCTTGTACTTTCCCCGAGGTATGAATTATGAGGGCCATCAGCATGTGACACAAAGTGGAAAATTAGACCAGCTCGCATCACCTTATTTCAAATTCTTACTTTTTTTCCCTGTTGAGAAAAATTTTCACCTTACATATATTACAGAATTCACTAATGGCATATTTGCATCAGGATTAGAGGTACTTATAGCATCAGATCTACTTCTAAGCCCATTTCCATTTCAAAACCATGTTTACTTACTGTTTATATCAGACATAGCCTATATTTTGGCTTTACCTAGGGAGAAGGGAAAAGATGAGGGTGAGTAACACAGTTTTAACTCCATTCGCCAAAAAACTGATTTTTAGAAAATAAAGGCTTTTTAAAAAATATTTGAGCTAGCATGACCTGAAAATTTTTAAAACATTATATGTACATATTTTTCTATATATTGTAATGAATTTGGTTTTAAAATATGATGATATATTGGCATCTTTAAACTTTATTACATATAGAAATACTTGAATATGGAATGTGGGGAATTTTAAGTTTCAAACAGAGACAATACTAATAAATTTTTAAATTTACATCTATTTATTAAGAGATTAAGAGATTAACTTAATTATTATTATTTATGATTATTTAGCATGAAGAAAATTAAAGCAAACCCAGAAATATATTAGCCTTTAAGTACAAGAGCTATTACCCAAATTGGAGATTTTGTAAATGAATATGAGACATAAAATACAAAGTATTCAAAATTTTTAATTTCATTAAAATTATACTCTATAATTAATAATTAAGTTCTGTATTTCAAATACTATTACTATTAGCTTGATCATCTGGCTGATCATATTATTTATACTTTACTCTAAAAGAATTTTGGACCCTTCCTAATATCAAATTCATTCCAAGAGGAAAAAATACTATCACTGATGATGTTTAAAAAGGATAGCCTTAGTCTCTCCCCTTTATGGTCCTTATTTTTCTTTTATTAGGTCATTTAAAAAAATATATCTCAGGTATTTCAATACTCTTGCTGTAATCTTTTTACAGTTCTATTTACCAACCTGATAAAGTCTAAATTCATTCCTCATCTGGCTTCAGACTGAATGTTAGCTTAAATTTAGATATTTCCTACTCACTTGGAGTCCATCCATATCAACTTGCTCTTTACATGTATAAACTTATGTGTTTATTTATTTCTGCTATCTTGTACATGGCATTTCCTTAATTTGAGATGTCTTATATACAGTATCTTTAGCCTCAATAGTATATACCAATCTTTTTGGAATAAATCATGCTTTTACCCTCTATATAAAGTTTTCCTTTTAATCTTTTACTTTGTAATTAGTAATGCTAGTTCCTGTTGGTCTGCCACATCTATCAAGCCCAGGACACAATCTCAATTTTGCCATTCACTTTAGTATTATAATGCTTGGTTGTTCATATTAAAATTATTATCCTGATCTCACACAGACAATTGATTTCCCCAGAATCAAGGAACAGGCCTGTTGACATCAAGTCTAGTATGTTAGTTCAACTATAGAACTATTTATAAACACTGCATCATTTTGAAACTGAACATTAGGCCCTCTTTCTATCTGATCATAGCTATATAATACTTCGTCATTCCTTTTTGTTACATTCCTTACATTTTCTGTAACTCTCTCTGTTGACCCCCTCTACTTACAACACAGAAATAAATATTATGCTTTATAGAAATACTATGTAGACTTCATAAAAGAAACAGAGCACTGTATATAGCTACCTAATCTGTCTTTTTACTTATATTGGATAATCAAGCATAAGGCTGTGTCCCCCCGACAATGTAGGCGCTCAACAAATGTTTGTTGAACAATGAATAAACACATAACAAGTATTTCAATTTTTGACATGCTAAGTTAGAATTAACAAAACCATACTATTTGTATTGAATTTTTTTGGTGTTTTATTTTCTAGAGCATTCTAGGGTATATCCAGTTGATTTAAACAGAATCTGATAATTATCAAGGAAAGTCTAAAAAATGTAGCAAGAAATATATTCCTGCTTTGCCTTCAAGAAGGCTTAACTACTTCTTCAGGAGACTATCTCTAATAACATTAATTCTCTGTTTTATGTCACAGGATCCTGAGAACAATCACTATATGGAGAATGAAAATATCTCCTGCCACTCAGGTCAAAAATGACTCATATCAAATGTCAAAGGCCAAGAAATTGAAAATATAAGCTGTATAGCAGTACTGCCTAGAATTGAATGAATCCATAACATTAATGAACATAGTTTCTGAACAAAATTTTTAAAAAAAGTATTCAAACATTCATTTTCACCAAGGGAGACACCTTTAGAATGCAATTTCTGTGAAATACCTGTGATATACCTGTGATATCTCTATGTCATGAAATTTTCCAAAATATTTGTTAAAAATAACAATCATCTTACTTAATCTTTCAAGTCTGTTAATTACTACAACATTTAGAATGGGAAAGACTGGCATAAAAAGAATGAAATGTACTATATTCTTTATTCAGTTCAAAAACAGTTTTTGGTTGCATCTACTCAATATTAGTCCTGGAAAACTACTCCATTTATAGAAAATGCATCTTTTTATTTATTAAGATAGGAAAAAAATGATTCCTGTTTTAATCAGCTTGGACTTCTATAACAAATTAGCATACACTGTGTGATTTAAACAAGAGCAACTTATTTCTCATAGTTCTGGAGTCTGTAAAATCAAAGACCAAGGTACTGGTATATCCAGTATTCAGTGAGGACCGTTTCCATGGTTGGTAGATGTCCACTTTCTTGTATCTTCACATGGCAGAGAGCAGAGAAAGAGAAAGAAAAGTCGCTTCTGTCTCTTGTTATAAGGGTACTAATTCCATCCTGAGGGCTCTTGTGACCTAATTACCTCCCAAAGGCCCCATCTCCAAATACTATAACACTGGTAAATAGAGTTTCCACATACGAATTTTAGAATACAAATATTTAGTCCATACACTCCATCCCTAACCTCTCCAAATTCATGTTCTTCTCACATGTCAAATACATTCATTCTATCCCAACATTCCCCAAAGTCTTCAGTTTTTTCAGCATCAACTCTAAAATCAAAAGTCCAAAGTCTCATTTAAATATTACCTAAATCAGGGATAAATGAGACTTGTAAAATTCATCCTGCGGCAAAATTGCTCTCCAGCTGTGAACCTGTGAAACAAATGTGCTTCAAAAGTACAATGGTGGGAGAGGTATAGGATAGACATTTCCATTCCAGAAGAGACAAATAGGAAGGAAAGAAGAGGTGAGAGTTCCCAAACAAATTCAAAACTTAGCAAGGCAAAGTTCATTATATTCTAAGGCTCAAGACTAATCCTCTTTGCCTTAATGGCTCTGCTTTCCAGACACCCTGGGGTGGCACCTTCACTTCCACAGCCTGGCATAATGCTGTCCATGCCGGGTTCCCCGGAAACAAACATTCAGTCCATAGAAATTTGTGTTTGAAAGTTTTTCATGGCTAATAAATGTTAGCAGGCATCTTTGTATCCAGTTAGGTAAAGAGTAGCTCATTTTGGAACTACAGAATTAGAAAAACAAAGCCAAGTGAATCAGGGTACATGCATACGTGTGTGTGTGTGTGTGTGTGTGTGTGTGTGTGTTTAGAAAGAAGGCATACAGTTTAAGGAAGACAACATTAAAATTTGAGGACATAGAAACTAAGGGAGGAGACCATCCCTCATATTGTCTTATGCCCAATTTCTGCCTCCAAAAAAAGAAGCAAAAACTAAAAGGCAGAAAAGAAATCCACAAGCAGACAGCCCAGAGCCACACCCTGGGCCTGGTAGTTAAAGATCAATCCCTGACCTAATAGGTTATTTGCATAAGAAAAGCACTGTGAAGATCCCTGTCCTGTTCTGTTCCATTCTAATTACCAGTGCATGCAGCCCCCAGTCATGTACCCTCTGCTTGCTCAATCGATCACAACCTTCTCACACGGACCCCCATAGAGCTGTGAGCCCTTAAAACAGACAGGAGTTGCTCACTCAGGGAGCTCAGTTGTTGGTGACGTGAGTCTTGCCAAAGCTCCCGGCTAAATAAAACCCTTCCTTCTTTAACTTGGTGTCTGAGGGGTTTTGTCTGCGGCTTGCCCTGCTACATTTCTTGTTTCTCTGACCGGGAATCATGGTGATTAATGGATGGTCAAGGCAGTCCCTTAGGTGGCTTAGGCCTGCCCTGTGGAGCATCCCTGCGGGGGACTCCCGCCAGCTTGAGTGACACGGATCCTGAGAGCGCTCCCAGGTAGGCAATTGCCCTGGTGGAACGCCTCTCCAGAGCAGTGCATGGCAGGCCCCGTGGAGGATCAACGCAGTGGCTGAACACCAGGAAGGAACTGGCACTTGGAGTCCAGACATCTGAAACTTGGTAAGACTAGTTTTTGGAACGTGCCCACTCAATTTGAGTGGAAGCATGGCCTGATCACCCACAGCGTGTCCATACCAGCACTTTGCTTTTTTATTTTTGACTTGACTTGGATTGCCTGATACTTTGGTTTTAGTTTTGACCTGGCTTGCACTTCTTGTTACTCTGATTTTGGTTCTGATTCAGGTTTGGTATAAAGTGAAAAAGTGTGCGTGCACCCTTTTTGCCCATTCTTTGTTTTGTGGTGTGTGTGTGGTGTAAGCATGGTGTTTTCCCTCAAGAAAACACGGGTCAGGCACAAAGTAAGCCCACCCCACTAGGAACTATGTTGAAAAATTTCAAAAAGGGATTTAAGGGAGACTATGGAGTTACTATGACACCAGGAAAACTTAGAACTTTGTGTGAGATAGACTGGCCAGCGATAGAAGTGGGTTAGCCATCAGAAGGAAGTCTGGACAGGTCCCTTGTCTCGAAGGTATGGCACAGGGTAATCTGTAAGCCAGGGCACCTAGATCAATTCCCGTATATAGATTCTTGGTTACAGCTATTTTTGGACCCCCCACAGTGGTTACGAGGATAGGCAGCAGCAGTACTAGTAGCAAAGAGACAGTTAAGGAAGGTTCGTGCTCCACCTGCCAAGGGAAGTCAGCACCAAAAGTCCTGTCCGACCCAACACCAGAAGAATCATGGCAGGAATTGGTACCAGCAGTACCCCCCTCTTATCGAGAGCAGGGGCTCCCCACTCCTGAGCCCACAGCACCTACACCTCCACCAGATAGCCACGCTCCTAGACTACCCAGAGTAGACAAAAGAGGAAGTGAAGCCACGGGAGAAACTCTTCCCTTGGCAGCTTGCTTACGGCCCAAGACTGGAATCCAAATG